AATAAAAACCAATGCTGTTGTTAAAAGTGAAACAAAAAGCTGAAGTTGGAAATACTTAAGAAGTAGCAATTCAAAATAATAATCAAAAGGTCCTTAACAAAGTTAAGCACTTAAAACCCTAGGGTTTTTGTTTGTTTGTTTGTTTTAGAGGTATTAAGGTTCAGTGAGTTTATGCTTACATTTTATATAAAACAATACTTTTACTTAAAGTCTTAGTTGGATTCTGAATTTCCTGTGCAAAGCAGCCTTTAGGATAAATGACATATATCAATAGAATAGGAGCAAGTGTGCATTATATAAAAGACTTTGATTACCAATGAAAAGCAGAGTCACGGTAACTAAGGCTTTTAAACTATTTTAAAAACTTGTTTTAAAATAAGTTTTAAACTTATTTTGACTTGACACCCTAAGGTTTTAAAATACTTTCAAAAAAATAAAAAAATAAAAAATACTTTCTATAATATTGTTATAATTATGTACAAAATGAGAATTCATATATAAGATTTCTTTCTCAATTAAAAAAATTAAAGTAAAAGGCTTTGGTAAAAATTAATTTTATTAAAATAAAAATATTTTCTGATCTTTTGCAAATATTTCTAACTAAAAAATTTTTTGACAAATTCCCCTATATGCCAACTGTATAACTCAACCCAACACTAAAGTAGGGCTAAGCATAAGTTTTTCCCTTTAGTTAAATATAATCATACAAATAATATTACTTGGTTCTTTTCACTTTTTAAATTCTTATAAGCTTAATCACGAGATTTCATGATTTATGAAACATGACCAAATCTAAGATTTCTTTTAAGGACTTAAGCAGCTGGAGAAAGTGGTAATGGTCTAATGATAATGCTCTTGAGCCAATTCCTAACTGATTTTCCTACTCATAACATAGCATTTTTTTGTCTGAAGCGTCTGGCATGCTTATTTGAAAATAATAATAATAATAATAATAATAATAATAATAATACCAAGTGACAAAATAGTAAGCTCTATCATTTAATCCTCAATACAACCCTTTGAGGAAGGTAGTATTATTATCCATTGTACAGATGAGGAACTGAAATCGCAAAGAGGTTCAGTAACTTACCTAAGTTTCAGAGTTAATGGTAAAGTTGGCATTCAAACCCAAACTGCCTGGTTCCAAAATCCATATGATTAACCACTATGCAGATTACTGGTAAACCCACTGAATCAAGGCTGAAAGCCAGGAACTTTCATTTTAAATAAAGGCATCAGATTATTTTTATACTATCTAAGGTTCGAGAAGCACTTTTTCCTAAGTTTGATGTCACTTAGGAAAAAGTGGCAGATATAGTTAGTCCTTTTATAGTACACACAAAGAAATAAATCTAATCCACCATTTGAATATCTACTGTGTATACTTTAAACAGGGATGGGATAATTATTTCCTTAAACTGAGATATAGATATTAAGAAGGTATATAAATAAACCTGGATTCTTCTGGACATAAATAGGCAGACAAGTTTGATTTCTAGCTTAGTTGAGGTCAAAATAGGGTTCACTTTAATTCATTAGGAAGACCTGCAAGAAGGCATTTTAGAATAAACACCATGAAACATCTTCCAGCTAAACATTTCTATATAGTACTTTTATGTTTAATATTAGAAATGTGATACTTAAAACACCGTGGTTAAAATAATTTGCAGAATCTGAGGCATTAAGTGTTACAATGCTAGAGCTTCTGTGAAGGAAATAAATTCACTTCTTTAGTACATAATGATCAGTCTTCTTACATGTGGGGAACTTCCAAATAATTTTTAAAACTTTACATAAAATTATTTTGAGAGGCAAAACTCTAAGTTTTGCATGTAATAACAAAGTTTACTACTGACTGCTCTAGCTGGTTTGGCTTAGTGGATAGAGCGTTGGCCTTCAGACTGAAGAGTTCCAGGTTCGATTCCAGTCAAGGGCATGTACCTTGGTTACAGGCACATCTCCAGTAGGGGGTATGCAGGAGGCAGCTGATTGCTGTTTCTCTCTCATAGATGTTTCTAACTCTCTATCCCTCTCCCTTTCTCTCTGTAAAAAAAATCAATAAGATATATTTTTAAAAAACTTTACTACTAATATTATCTACTATTATTTGCTTATTTGAAGCAAATGACTATTTCCTGGGAGATAGGTGTCCATTTCCTTTATGAATAATACTATGGAATCCAAATTGTAAACCAGGCATAAGAACCACTATTGTCATAGTCTACACAGGGTGGCCATATTATTATGATCTCTGAACGCATAATAATTTGGCCAGTGTACATCCTACATAATAAAAGGCTAATATGTAAATTGTCCCCTTGATCAGGAGTTCCACCAGCAGGCAGGCTGGCCAACTGTCCATGTCCCCTCCTCCTGGCCAGGCTGGCTGGACTCCACTCATGCATAAATTCATGCACCAGGCCTCTAATAAACACACACACACACACACACACACACACACACACACACACACACACTGAGTAGCCAGAGTATTATGCGTTTAGAGATCATAGTAATCTGGCCACTCAGTGTATTTCCCATCTTTAGCCAAACTAACACTAACTCTAACTCTAACACACACACACTCTCTCTCTCCCCCGCCCCCTCACTTCGTTCTCTCTCCTCTCCCTTCCTTCCTTCCTTGACTCATTTATTTAAAACAGCACAATCTAGCAAAACATGAACTTTTGACAGTGACACACACACACACTTAAAATCAAAGTTTCATGAAACAATATTACTCTTACTATATTGAACACATTCTTTTAATTTCTTTCTATTTTTTAACTTTGTTAACTTATAAAAGAAATGCTGGTCATGCAATCCACTCATTTCATGGTTTACTAATGAATACCACCTGCTTATTTTAAAGCACAGTCTATGCCAGTCATTACATATAAAAGTCCATCCACTGAGATAGGAATGGAGACAAATACCAACATCAGGCCAGAATACTTTGAAGGATTGAGGAAAAAAATGAGTGAAAGAAATAGCAAAGGCTAGTACGACATAAGTGTAAGAATGATAATATACTACTATAGCATTAAAAAACGTGTACAAGCAATGATAGAAAGGCCTCTAAATAAAAAGTGAATCCTTTTTTTTTTATTGAATATGCTAGAACCAAGTTACTTTATATTTTAAAAAAATCATTCTAAGAATGTCATTAAAAATACTCTATTTAAAAATATTAAGAGAAAAACAAGTTTTTCTTTCTTTGTTCATTTAAAAATATTAAATAGAACTATAAATAAAAGTAAATGTGTAAATGAAAGTCTTCCAAGAACAATTAGTAACTTTAAAAGAAACAATTCCAAAAACAGAACTTTTACTGAAAAATAGATGTATACATTTTTGGATATATTTAACTGTTAAACTCACTTTACAGACTATCAATATTTTCAAAGTTATTACTCCTTTATTTTCTTCTTTACTTAAATTGACTCACAGAAACTCACTTTAACATCATTTTTATTTTTGGCAATGAAGTATTAGGTTATAGAACTTTTGGAAATGAACTGGACACACTAATACAAAAAAAATTTTAAAGAATCATCTGTTGAAGAAAACACATCTTTTATAAAATAGAAAATAAAAATATTTAATTAGGGTGAGATTGTGCTTATTTTAGTATCAGCTTCAAACAAAAAAACTCTTCATATAGTCACATTAGTCAGATAATAACTTTTTCCTTCTTGCAGAAATGTTTAAAGACAACTGAATTAACCTTTACTTAATATTCTTTCTGAAGTTTATATACAACTAAGAGTTAAAAGATTTGTTTTTCATATTAACAAGTCAACCATTTCTACAGTGCCAAAATAAATAAAAATGGATTACCTTGGCAGTATTTCCATGCACATATATGGCTTATTCTTGGAAGACTTGCATTTACACATTTACTTTTATATATAGTTCTCTTAAACTATTTCTACAATACAGTATAGTATATAAAAAGAAATTTATGACTATCAGAAAAAAATAGAGGTAAAATTTTGTTTGAAATACTAGCAGATTAACTCATAAGTACCAGTGGTATTTGTACTTGTGGGGGAAAAAGTCACAGTTGGAAACATTTCATTGAAAGTATGTGTGCGTTAACAGTGGAATTTAGCCAATTTCTTTACAAACAATACAAACACTGAAACAAAACTTTAAAAACTGTTGAGAGAAAACTGAAACACTTACCTGAAATTCTGGTACAGTAGGTAACTTTGTGACAGTTTTCCTCTTCTTTGTGATTGCTTTTTTAGATATGGATTTTTTCCCTTTCAAGATTAAAAGAGAAAAACTTCATAATGCTGTTAATAACCCTTCATTAACAAAAATACACAGAACCTTGAAAATTCAATTATAACTAACGATGGATTCCAGTGAGTCAAATAAAAATGATGAATCAAAACAAGTCCTAGTAAAAGCAAACATTCAACTACAACTACCTATAACAGACACATAAACAAATGCCATATTCTTTATATAAGAACCAAATTATTATAATCTCTAATGTGTTGCACAGTATCAAAATTTACTGTAATAAGATTTCTCAAAAGAGTCACATTACAACTCAGTTAAAATTTAATTCACAACTTAAAATTAGGTTACATAAGGAAAAAAAATCTTACCTTTAATAATAACTTATGTAGTCAGGAACCTGCATAGAATTATACTCTGAAGACTATGGTCTATTTATGTAGCCAACCCATTGTAAAAATCCTCTCAATAACTCAGAAAACCAAGTTTTTCTATCCCTTTAGCTCTGCACTTATCTAATCTTTCCTCAAGGGCTGCCTTTGGCAGTATTCAATGACCAGTTGTAAAACAAAGTAAACATCTCCCTTTAAAGTGCACCTACCTAATCATCTGTGTAATCAAAAATCATCGGAAAATATAAACTTATATTCTTAAAGAAATAAAATTCATAGCATAGATTGAAGTATATCTCTGTGTATTTAACCTGACAAGAGACATAATTCAGATCATGTTGAAAGTAAATATGTTTTGTGCTCACTTCGGTGGCACATATACTAAAATTGGAATGATATAGAAGATAAGCATGGCCTTTGAGCAAGGATGACACGCAAATTCATGAAGCGTTCCATATTTAAAAAAAGAAAAAAGTAAATATTTCCCCCCACTTGTAATTAGCAAAATCAATTAATAATAAGTTGGCTGTTAATTATTCAACAAACAAGAGATATAGGGCACTATACAATTTATGGGAATAACAAAAAATTATAAAATGAAACTGTCCTTCAGGAGCTTACAATCTATGTAATGGGATAAAAATTAATTGTAAATACTTAAAAGTTAACTTTAAGTCTCAATAATTTAAAGGGGAAAATTGAAAGTTACTGTTTTTTTGTGGGTTTTTTTTTTAAAGGAAAAGTGAGTTTAAGTACATAAAGTAACTTTGTTCTACATATACGCTATTGCTCCTTTTTAAACGTTATCTTATATAGGTAAGATCTTGGATGAAAACAATTTAAAAAAATTTAAATTTATAGTGGTGACATTAATAGGATCATATAGATTTCAAGTATACATTTCTATGATACATTGTGTGCCCATCAACCAAAGTCAAATCATCTTCTATCACCATATATTAAGCCCCCTTGACGACCTGCCTTTCCACTAGTAACAACCATACTGTTATCTGTGCCTATGAGTTTCAGTTTTATATCCCACATGGGAGTGAAATCATATGGTTCTTGGCTTTTTCTGACCAATTCATTTCACTTAGCATAATATTCTCAAGGTCCATCCATGTTGTTGCAAATGAACAGTATTACATAGTATATATGTACTTCTTCTTAATCCAATCCTCTATCAACGGACACTATGGTTATCTCCATATCTTGGCCTCCATGAATAATGCTGCAATAAATATAGGAGTGTATGTATCTTTGCAAATGAAACGTTTGAGTTTTTCAAGTAGATACCCAGAAGAGGATTGCTGGGTCATATAGTAACCCTATTCTTAATTTTTTGAGGAACCACCATACTGTTTTCCATAGTGGCTGTACCAGTTTATATTCCGACCAGCAATGAATAAGGGTTCTTTTTCTCCACAACCTCTCCAACACTTGTTATTAGCTGTCTTGTGGATAAGAACCATTCTAACAGGTGTGAGGTGGTATCTCATTTTAGTTTTTTCATTTCCCCAATAGCTAGTGAAGTTGAACATCTTTTTCATATATCTGATGGCCATTTATATGTCTTCTTGGAAGAGGTGCCTGTTCAGGTTCTCTGCCAATTTTTTAATTGAATTGTCTTGTGTTGAGTTGTATGAATATATATTAAAACTCTTTTTCTGAGCTGTTGTTTGCAAATATCATCTCCCATTTGGTTGATTGCCTTTTTGTTTTACTGATAGTTTCTTTTGCTGTACAGACGCTTTTTAGTTTGATATAGTCCAAATCATTTGCCTTTACTTCCCTTGCCTTTGTGATCAAATTCATAAATTCTTCTCTTAAAACCAAGGTCAGTAAATTTAGTATCTGTTTTCTTCTATGTAATTTATCGTTCCAGAACTTATATTTAGGACTTTGATCCATTTTGAATTACTTTTTGTACATGGGGACAAACTGCATCTGGTTTCATTCTCTTGCATGTGGCTTTCCAATTTTTCTAGTGCCATTTTTTAAAAGGCTTTCTTTTCTCAATTGTGTTCTTTTGGGTTATCAAAAATTATTTGCCAATATACATGTAGTTTTACTTCTGGGCTCTCAATTCTATTCCATTGGTCTATGTGTCTGTTTTTCTGCCAATATCATAGATCTATAGTATTAATTTGAAAGTCAGGTAGTGTGATATTTTTGGCTTTGTTCTTTTTTCTCAGGATTGCGTTGGTTATTTAGGGTCTTTTTTGGTTCCATACAAATCTGATGATTTCTTGTTCTATTTCTTTAAAAAATGGCATTGGAATTTTGATGGGGATTGCATTAAATCTTTGGGTAATATAGCCATTTAAACTACAATATGTTGATTTTTTTCAATCCAGGAACGCAGAATACCTTTTCATTTTATTGTATTTTTTTCAATCTATTAATAGTTTTGTAGTTTTCAGTATATAGGTCCTTCACATCTTTTGTTAAGTTTATTCCTAGGTGTTTTATTCTTTTGGTTGCAATTGCAAACAGAATGTGTGTCCCCCTCCCCGCCCCCCTAAGTTTCATTGCTAGTATGTAGCAGTGGATTTTTGTACATTGATTTTGTATCCTGCAACTTTACTCTATTTGTTTATTGTTTCAAATATTTTTTGTGGTCTTTAGGGTTTTCTATGTACAGAATCATGTCATCTGCAAAAAGTGACATTTTTACTTCTATTTATTCACTTGCCTGATTGCTCTAGCTAGGACTTCTAGAATTATGCTGAATAATAGTGGTGAGAGTGAGCATCCTTTTCTTGTTCCTGACTTTAAAGAAAAAGCTTTCCATTTTTCACCATTGAATATGATACTGTCTGAGGAAAACATTGACAATGACTTTAAATAAGTAACACAATCTACCAAAGAGCTTCACAACATGACCTAGGAGTGGTAATAAGAAAATATTTATTGAGAGCCTACTATGTATCAGACACTTAGTGAGATGATTTATATAAATGATCTCATTAATTCTAATCCCCACCCCCTCCACCCCCTCCACCCACACACACACACACACACACACACACACACACACACACAAACATTGAAGGTAGGCAATTCCTCATTTTAATGTGAGATAACTGGAGAGAAAAAAATATTACTTACTCAAGTGTTACATTGTAAGTAAGCACCATAGCCAGGGGTTCTACCGCCAAAGTCCAAGTTCCATTATGCAATTGCTAACCTCTCAAAAATCACAGTTACCATTTATTGATTCTCACAACTTGCCAAGCACCATCTTAGATACTATGTTTTGCTATTCAAATTAATCTGTGTAATGCTACAGCAAGGTAGGTATTACTTCTTTTTTTTTTTTTAACAGATAAACTGGCTATAAACAGGTAAATAAATCGATGGAAGACTTGTAGCTAATGTGCACTGGATCATGTATCTGTATTAGACCTGCTGCGCTCTTTTCTTTTTTAAAGCACGTTATTTTATTTATTTCTGAGAGAGAGAGAGAGAGAGAGAGAGAGAAAGAGAGAGAGAGATTGATTTGTTGATTCTTTTATGTGCCCAAACTGGGGATTCAACCTGCAACCTTTGGCTATTGGGACGATACTCTAACCAACTGAGCGCCCAGCCAGGGCTAACGCTGTGCTCTTTTTAATGATAAACTACTGTGTTCTTTCTAACTTTCTATAACGATATAAGATGCTTTTGACAGATTTCAAAGCATTTCTTTATACTAAGGGAAGATTTGCATATTCACTATTACATAATCTATAGCCTCATAAAAACAGTCTGAACAAAAAAATATCCTGTATTCTTCAATAAAAATTAGTTCTTTTTAATTAAACTTACTTTTAAAATAGAGCATTGTGTACTATAAAATCTCAGTCTTTTTTTAGTAATCTGTTTTTGTTTCAGGACAAGTTACATAATGCCTCTCAGTGGGCTTTCACTGTCCTAAGTCACCTGTTACTATAAAACAGAATGTTAAGTCTCAGATCTAGGATTGTGCTGAAGTCAAGAACAGCTAAAATATACATAGAAATGCCCTAGCTGGTTGCTCAGTGGTTAGAGCATCGGCCTATGTATTGAAGGGTCCTGGGTTTGACTAGAATCAAATCCCCAGTGGGCGGCATGCAGGAGGCAGCGGATCAATAATTCTCTCTCATCACTGATGTTTCTATCTCTCCCTCTCCCTTCCTTTCTGAAATCAGTAAAAATATATTAAGAAAAAATAAAGAAGCATTTAAAAAACGCACACACACAGACTTTCAACTTTAATTCTTGGGCTTAAAACACAGCCATGGGCAAAAAGTTGAATCTCAACATGTACCAAGAAAATGGATAAAAACCTTAATATAGTTTAATAATTAAAGTTACAAGTGCAGTCTAATGAAGCTTTTTAAAACCAAGCTTAGAACAGTTTAAGAAAAGAAATCCCAGCTTGAGAGGAAAAATATAACTAAAAATATATTTTACACTATAAATGTAGGCACAAAACTCTAGTCTACTAGAACATGTAGATACACTTACTAGAAAAATGAAGATTATTTTCCCCACTCCAACTCCTCTTTCCCTCTCTCCTTCATCTGGCTGCCCTGCCTGTCTTCACCCCCTGGGCTTCTACTTCCACTCCAATGCCTTCCTAGATTTGGCCTTCCCATGTATAAGCATTCTCCCAACATATTCACTACTCTCTTAGTGTTTTCATTTTAGGAACCATAGTGAATGGATAATAAGAATTAATCACTGTTAAAAGTAAAGGGCATTTGTATTATTAAATACCAAATCTGGGAAATACTTTATTCTCTTGGGCAAATTTTTCATCATACTGGTAATCTTTTAACCCTATCATAGAACAGCTATTTCTTTTTTTCTCCTTTAATTTAGAATACTGAATCAGTTGTCAAATTCTGCTTCTTGTTGCACTATATTTCTCAAAATGTTTTTTCTTTACTGCCAATGTGATAGAAAAGTCATGAAATCATTCCTTATCTGGATTTAGAATTTCCTCTTTCTGAAATTACCTTCTACACCAACTCCTTCATCTAAATCTCATCAGTTTCTTTTTATAGCTATTTAATGATGTCCTAATTACCTGGCAAGATCCTTTCTCCTAATCCTGTCACTTACTAGCTGTGTTACCTTGGACACAGGAATAAATTTCTCTGTGCTTCAGTTTTTTTAATCTATATAATAGGAAAGAACAACAGTATCTACTTTATGGAGTTTTTATGAAGGTTCAATGAGACAATATGCATAAAGGCTTAGAACAGTGCCTGGCATACATTAAACAATAGATAAGTATTCACATTTTTGGGGGTGAGATAGGGTGGGTGAGTAGAAGGCAATAAAATAAAAGGATATGGAGTACAGTTTATCTTTTTACTCTCTTTTACTGTGGCATCTTGAGTTGGTCCTCTAAAAGTTTTCCCCATAAAGACACACATAGTTAAGTGCTATAATAGTGCTACCAACACAGAACTATACAATCTTTCTTACAA